TCTAACGAGCAACTATTACTACTACTGCAACTATTACTACTACTGCAACTATTACTACTACTGCAACTATTACTACTACTGCAACTATTACTACTACTGCAACTATTACTACTACTGCAACTATTACTACTACTGCAACTATTACTACTACTGCAACTATTACTACTACTGCAACTACTATTACTACTACTGCAACTACTATTACTACTACTGCAACTATTACTACTACTGCAACTACTATTACTACTACCACCAACTACTGCTACTGCCGCCGCCACCAACTACTACTACTGTTGCTACTATTATCACCAATTGTTGCTACTACTGCTGCTACTACTGTTGGAACTACTGCTGCTGCTGCTACTACAGCTGCTGCTGCTACTACAGTGCTGCTGCTGCTACTACAGCTGCTGCTGCTACTACAGCTGCTGCTGCTACTACAGCTGCTGCTGCTACTACAGCTGCTGCTGCTACTACAGCTGCTGCTGCTGCTGCTGCTGCTGCTAATACTATTACTGTAACTACTGCTGCTGCTATTGCAATTGCTGCTGCTGCTACTACTACTAGTATTATTACCAATACCATTACTATTACTGATATCACAATTAGCACTTTTCTCAATAATGATTTTTAAGAATTAAATATGAAGACGAAGACATCTGGCGTAACAAAGACAGGTTAAGTGTGTCCGCCCAGGTAACTCTTGAGGAATCTGGCCACGTGTCTTCAATTAATTTCTTCGTTCTAACGTAAGCTGACCCTGGCCCGGGCTACACTAATCTGAATTTGAATTTAGGACCTATGGTCCGGGGGGGGGGACGAAAACGTTGTCCAGTTTCCTTTCCAGGTTTTTGGGTTTGTTGTGAAATGTTCCAGCTACGATATTGACTTTATTCTTTTTTAACAAGCGAAAAGAATTAAGCCTTTATATGTGCAAGATTTATTGAACACTGGGACTTGCATTATAGGTTTGTGTGTGTGTGTGTGTGTGTGTGTGTGTGTGTGTGTGTGTGTGTGTGTGTGTGTGTGTGTACTCGCCAATATATACTCGCCTATATTAGTTGCAGTGATTGAGTCACAGCTGACCCCTCCTCTTCGCTGATCGTTACTAGGTCACTCTCCCCGCTTCAGAAGCTTTATCATACCTCTTCTTACCTCTTCTTAAAGCTATGTGGAAGGAGGGGAAGGGTATATCTTAGAAATACTATTTTTTAAGAAAATGTATTTCACTACAAAATTTGAGTTAGATCTGTAAGTTGCCAGCATGGGTGGTGCTTGTTAGTTAAGGAGGCCACATACGTGCACAGGTTGAGATGCTGTGCCGGCCGGCTTGGCAGAGAGAGGCACCGCGTGGGTATTCTTGGCACTGACCCACTCTTTCTCCATCTCTACCACATCCACCTTTCACCCACCGCAAATTCCTCGAATTCTCTCAACCAGGACCTCAAAAACGCCTGTTAATATATAGTAATCCATCGTAAATTTGGATGTGCTTTGAAAATTTTACCGAGGGAAGCGTAGAGGTGCAGGAGTGACGTCAGAGCTGTAGCTTAACTCGAAGATGGCGATATAAGGTGATGTGTGGCGCCGCGTGTTGGGCACCAGACCCACACTACCCCCGCTCACTGCCTCTTGCTGTCCCTGCCAGAGAAACATGCTTCTCCTCAGTGATTTCCTACGCTGCTCTGCTTCAGATTAAATATGCAAACTCTTCAATAACAGAATCCAGTACCAGTAAGCAAGGTGTTTGGCTCTCCATAGCTGTCTTGGTTCTCCATAGTGCCGCGCCCGCGCCACAGTGCTGGCACCACTGAACAAGTCATCTTACAACACAAACTCGTGTCAAGTAATTTTTCTCTGACTAATTAACCAACATAAAACTGTCGATTCATTATTAGAATGAGATGTGCCTTATATAGATATCCGAGGTCTTTTATATAGTGCAAATTGCTTAATCAATTATTAAAAACAAGACATCTTGCGACTGGCTGAGCTTTTATGTATCTATGGTTATTAGTGTGCGTGCGTGCGTGTGGGCGCGCTCGCGGTATTATACAAGTTTTCTGAGAAGTCAGTAGACATTTTCAAAGCTACAAGGGAAGCTAACAATGTTTTAAAGCTACATACGGCAGGTCCAGCTGTTAATGTCTTCACTGATCGTCGCATTTCGTAATAATTTTTACAATAACCTTGATAGTAAGCAATATTATCTAATCGTGACATTTTTGTTAAAAGTTTATTTTATTGCCTCCTGCATTAACGTAGTTTCATACACGTACGATTAACTTAGTGTTTATGAATTACTTCGCAATTTCCTTCCGTGTCAAGACCTACAGCTTAAGAAGTACTTAGCCCATACAAGGCGCCCTCTGCTCAACACAACCCTGGCAAGAGTCCACACATTCCACCAGCCACTGACTGGTCTTCTCACTCATACGATCCCTCACTGTCTCTTCAGCGTGACTTTCAACCGTCCTCTGTATCAACTCTCAGGCTGAGAGCACACTGGCCACCCCTTGTCTATATCCCCTCTCGGTGCCTTTATCTTCCAAAGTTAGTTTGTATTTCGTAAAGTATTACACCCATCTGTGCCAGATATATGACCGCTATTCGCAGTCATATATCTGCCAGTCACACTGATCGTAGTCATAATCATCGTCATAATCATCGTCATAATCGTCGTCGTCGTCGTCGTCGTCGTCGTCACTGGTATACATCATCTCGTCCAGAAAGATCAACTACTCCTCATGCTGTGTATATTTTCTTTACCTGTTTCGTTGTCATGACTGCTAGACTCTTAACACACCTTCATCTTTCTTATACATCCCATGGTTAACTCTCCTGAGTTTGTTGCAATATTCCCAAGCAAAAGTGGGAGAATATGATCATGTGTTCCTGCAGTTGCAGCTGTCATTATATGGGAATTTTTGTTTCAGAAATAATACTGAGGTATTTATGAAGTCCGCTTATTTAGGATAATTTGTTTTCTAAATTTGCTTAATATTAATAAATAAAAATTATCCTTATTTTGCAAAAATAACTTGATATCTTTTTAATCGACTAAGCGCTAAACTCGTGACTCATTTTGTTCAAGTAGTACTGGAGACTCGATCCTCCGTCAGGTACTTAACTTTTCCAAGGACGTACAGGTAGAGTATGAGGGGGGAGGGGGATAAGTATGGGTGTCCAGTAATAGTAAGACTGTGTTCAGTGAGGTATCTTCAACAGTCTTGTGGTGCCATGACTTTCTAGGTCATGTGTAGGGAATGGGTGGTGTGGGAAGGCCAGGAGCTACAGCAGTGGCATCGTAAGGGGGTCGGGCCGCCCCGGGTGACACCATTTAGGGGGTGACATCATAGAGCCTCTAAAAAAAAGGTGGCACTAATGCCCACAACAGTGCTGCAGCAACATAAGAGAAAAATCCTTTGTTTCTATGTAGCTTATTACATGATTACCGAGTACAGATAGGCCTATATAGGAGGAACATCATTGATTTTGATGTGATGATTTTTGCAGGATTGAAGGCAAGGAAATGTAAGATCAGATGTACTCAAGGTCAAATGTAAGATCAGATTCACTGAGACGTTACCTGTACTCAGGGTCAAATCGTTCCTAGTGTTTCTCTGATATTGCAATGTTTTTCATTATTTTTCAATTTTTTTTTTTTTTTTTTTTTTTTTTTTTTTTTTTTTTTTTTTTTTGCACTGTTGAAGATGAATAAATGTAGGATCTGTTGCCTGTACTCAGTGGTATTTGAGTTTGTTTCCTCAATATTACTGTTCGGTTTAAGGTCCTTAAACTTTCTCATTGCTAAACATAAGTTACTGGTCATACAGTAGTGACGTAACTGCAGTTTTCTCTCCCCATCCCCCCGCCCTTGGATTTCAAGGGGGTGACACCAACCCTAGCGACACCACTGCGCTACAGGCCAGCAACAACCTGTGCAGGGTTAAACAGGATGGATGGATGATTCTCATAGTACCACAGGAAACATCAACTGAAATTGATCTTTTAGTCATAGGGGAAAAATTTGATAAGTCTGTCATAAGATGACTAGTTCAGTAGCGCCGGCACTGAGTCGGAGTTGCGACAAGATGGTGTGTGAAAGGTTAGGTAAGATTCGTCAGGAAACAGGACAAGTGTTTCCTGAGACGCGGGTCTGTCATATAATGACCCACCACTGGAGCTTTTCGTCATTTAACAGAGGCCTTCGCTGGCTTATAAGTCCACCCCTTTAAAAATTGTGGTAATGCGTGTCCTTCTATGTAGAAGGTTTATTAAAAAGCTTTGTGTGTGTGTGTGTGTGTGTGTGTGTGTGTGTGTGTGTGTGTGTGTGTGTGTGTGTGTGTGTGTGTGTGTGTGTGTGTGGTGTGAGAGAGAGTGAGAGAGAGAGAAAGGACACACAAAAGTGGGTGTTCAATGGGTCAGTGGCGGATCCCGGCGTCAGGGACTGTAGGTTTTCCAATACTAAGTTCAGTGTTTTGAGTGAAAGATTATTCTTTGCAGAATAAACACCTTTTGTGGGAAATCAAGTTGGTCTCCCTGCAGCTTGCAGCTGGCCATTGATGGGCACTCGCCTCTTAACGTGTACTTGGCTTTGACCCTTCCGATCACTTTTACAAGATATATTTAGTGTCGTTGATCTGATGTTTTTATGGATAGTGCCGTTTTTAACGTCATTCATTTTCATTTTTTTTTTTTTTTTGAAGTTAAAGCAACGTTATTTACCTTAACTTGCCTATTATTTTGCCTATTCTGAATGTGGTGCTGGAATGTGAGGTTTACATTGCACGGAGCACTGAATGACCTCTGTAAATTTCACAAACTTTTTTTTTTCCTCCTATAACCCTGTATCTAGTTTGACACACTTGCACAGCCTATAACTTCCAATGCTATTACATGACAAAACATTTCGACACATAGTTTTGCAAGGAAGTGATTTCATACAAATGAAACTTATACTGAGATGAAAAACTATATATTTTTTATATTCTTTACAGAGGAGCCAGCCTGAGGCAAGATGGCACAGCAACTTGAGCAGCTCCTTACCTGCTGTATATGTCTGGACCGCTTCCGCAACCCAAAACTGCTACCATGCCAGCACTCGGTGTGTATGGAGCCCTGCATGGAGGGCCTCGTCGACTACGTCCGTCGACAGGTTAGTACAGGACTTTTGTTTACCATCTGGCCAGCAGAGTATTGGTAAGCTCTCCTCTCCCTCGAACTCTGTCCTCTCCCTCGAACTCTGTCCTCTCCCTCGAACTCTGTCCTCTCCCTCGAACTCTGTCCTCTCCCTCGAACTCTGTCCTCTCCCTCGAACTCTGTCCTCTCCCTCGAGCTCTGTCCTCTCCCTCGAGCTCTGTCCTCTCCCTCGAGCTCTGTCCTCTCCCTCGAGCTCTGTCCTCTCCCTCGAGCTCTGTCCTCTCCCTCGAGCTCGTCTCTCCTCAGCTGGTCTCCCGGAGCCGTCGTCCTCGTAGGTTTTCCTACTAAGTTCGTGTTTTGAGTGAAAGTTATCTTTGCAGATACATCACTTTTGTGGGTCGATCAAGTCTTCTCACTCTGCCAGCTTGCCTGCTGGCCATTGAGGGCCACTCTCCTCTAACTGACTTGTCTTCCCTTCCGATCACTTTTACAAGATTATTAGTTTATGATCTTGTTCTTCTGATGTCCTTTTTACGTCTTATTTTCATTTTTTTTTTCTTTGAAGTTAAGCAACGTTCATTGTCCTTAACTTGCCTATTATTTGCCTATTTCGAAGTGGTGCTGGAATTGAGGTTTACATTCTCGGCCGCCACTGAAGACCTTCTGTAAATTTCACAAACTCTTGTTTTTTTCCGCCTAACCCTGTATCTGTTTGACACATTTGCACAGCCTATAACTTCCAATGCTATTACTGACAAAACATTTCGACACATAGTTTTGCAAGGAAGTGATTTCATACAATGAAACTTATACTGAGATGATAAACTATATTTTTTATTCCTTTACAGAGGAGCCAGCCTGAGGCAAGATGGCACGCCAACTTGAAGCTCCTTACTACTGTATATGATCTGGACCGCTTCCGAAACCCAAAACTGCTACACATGCAGACTCGGTGTGTATGACCTGCATGGAGGGCCTCGGCGTTAACTTACGCCGTCGACAGGTTTGTACAGGACTTTGTTTTACCATCTGGCCAGCAAAGTATTGGTATAGCCTCCTCTCCACTCGAATACCTGTCCTCTCCTCGAACCTGTTCAGAGCTGACATAGTGTATAGACATCCATGCGGTGGTGCATATTCTTTTATTAATTTAACTTTTTCAGAAACAAATTACAGAAAGGGAAATTTAATTACCTTGTTGAGATCATTATCATATACCACTAAGTAAAGTGGTACGAGTATGTTAACTGGGTTCACCTTGTTGCAGGTCAAGTGCCCGGAGTGTCGCGCCGAGCATCGGATCCCTTACAATGGGGTTCAAGGGTTTCCTTCCAACGTGACGCTTCAGAGGTTCCTCGAGGCTCACATAGAGATCACTGGCGAGACGCCGGACCCACACACAGGTCAGTAACACTTTAGCTTCACATATTTTATTCTGTATTTTCTGTCCCAGTTCAATATTGCACGTATCAAACACATTTAAATTAGAGAATAATTATCATTTACATTTGCTATTGTGTCTATCAGATTAACTATCTTAAATATTAATGATGGGCTTTTTAGCATTTCTATTAAAATATACAATGTATCTCAGAGATTTGATGGTACATATTATAGTTGAAAGGTAACGCCAGCTTTTTCAGTATCAGTCGTACATTATACTGGCAAGCGGAGTTAACTTGTAACTCAGTGGCTGAACATTCTGTGTAAAACTTAAAAGATCAGGGTTCCATTCTCTAGAGGCACGAAACATAAGTCTCTTTCAGCTGCGGATTTCGAGTGAGATGTATGGGAGGAAGTTTGAAATATATCCGGTGAAAAGCGGGGGAGCTATAGGCACAATATGAGTAGTCATCCGTGGCCAAAAGCTGTTCATAATGGTACCAGTGAATATCAAAAATATTGATGAAACAAATGAAGTATTCAAGAGGTAACCGTATCACTACCACCAAGTGACAGATCAACCAGGATGTGATGGATATGTAGGCCAGTTGGTCGTCAATAGTAACACACTAAGTGAAAAGGCAATGAACAGAAAAGCCTGCCCCAGGCCGGACTGCAGGAGGTAGAATAACTCTAAAAACCCGTTACAGGTATATCACATTTATGTTGCCCGCGTTCGCCTAGAAGTACACATATGTACCTGTGTGTTACATAATGAGCAGCTCATCGTAGGTGATGACACCAATGGAAATTAGCCACACTACTTGGCTTCCTTTAGTTATTGTGCCTTAATGTTAAGAATATGTCTTCTAGCAATAGTATTCTGCAGTACACAAGTAACAAACATTCAAAGTAACTCGAACATTGTTTCACTTCGTTCCGACAGGATACCAGAATATTAGATAAGTAGCCATGTGTTAACAAGACGCATCCTGCAAACTGCTTTTTAATCAGTCTTGTAATATATGCATTTACAAAATATAATTTGTGTCAATTATCTTAAAAAATAATACTTTGTCAAATCGTGCAGCTTTTTCCCCCAGCCCTAAAAGTATCCTTGTTTCTTCCGTCTTACAGGACAGTTAATGGAAAGATGCAACGTATGTAACGAAAAGAATTACTTGGCTGTGTGCGCCCACTGTGAAAAGAAGATTTGCGAGGACTGCAAAGCTGCGCACACAGACATTCTCAAACGAGAGATTGGTCGCATCAACAATCAGGTGAGTCCTGGTACTGTACTTAGAAATACGTTACAACACTGAGGTGTCAACAACCAGGAAAATAATGGTGTTTTAGTCACGCCACAGTACTCCTGCATTCTCCACTATTTTTTTTTTCCACAGAAAGCGCTCAACCCTGGACATGTAGAAAAAAACATAATGTAAAAATAGATTATATATTTAAACCTCTATCTAAGAAGTGCTGGTGGTAAAAATCATCCTATTGTAAGCTCTGTAGTTCAGTGGTAACAAATGGTCTTGTGAAAATGTGATAAGTGTTACTTTTCACTGATCTTAAGAAAATCCGCATAGCTTACCGGGTGAGTTATTTTGTAGTGGGTCAACAAGAAATTGTTTCTAACTACACTCAGTGGCCACTTTATTAAATACACCCGAAATGCATATGCATACTAGTTGCATTCTTTATGCTGAACAATATTTTATTACAACTACACGTACTGTGTAGGGCTTTCCCCTTTGCCCACAAAACAGCCTGAATTCTTCGTGGCATGGATTCAACAAAGTGCTGGAAACGTTCCTTAGAGATCTTGGTCAGTTGACATGATAGGAACACACAGTTGCTGCAGATTTGATGGCTGCACATTCATGCTGCCAATCTCCTGTTCCACCATATTCCAAAGTTTTATGTCAAATTCTGACCCTACCATCTGCATGTTGCACCATAAATCCTGATTCATCAGACCAAGAGACGTTTATCCAATCTTCTTCTGTCCCATTGCAGTAAGCCTGTGGTCACTGTAGCCTCAGTTTCCTGTTCTTAGCTGACAGGAGTGGGACCAGGTGTTGTCTTCTGCTGCTGCGCCCATACACGTAAATGTTCGATGTGTTGTGCATTCAGAGATGCTCATCTGCATAATAATTAATAATTTCTACAAGTATGATAGTTATTACAAACCTAGCTGATATCATTGGCATACTATATAGAAAGCATCTCGTTATGCAGAACGTTTTGGGAAATTTGGGTTAATCTTGTCCACTAGGACTCCTGGTAGGATGCGACCCACAACAGTCGGCTAAAACCCAAGTACCTAGTTGCTGCTATGTGAACAGGGGCAGCAGATGTAAGGAAACATACCAACGTTTCACCTTCCTGGGATCAATCCTTGGCAGAGATTGAATCACTGTCGTCTTCCTGTCAGCTTGATCTAGTTTGGTCATTCTCCTCTGGTCTTTTGTCATAACAAGGCGTTATTGCCCACAGAGCAAACGCTCATTGGATGATTTGTGTTTTTCACACTTTTTTTGTAATCTCGAAAGACACTTGTACATGAAAATCCCGGGAAATCAGAAGGTTGAGATATCAATACCACCCTGTCTGGCACTAACAATTATTCCACGGTCAGTCAATCACATCACATTTCTTACCCTTTCTGATGTTTGGTCTGAACAACTGAACCTCTTAGCCATATCTATATGTTTTTAGGCATTGAGGGGCTGCCACGTGATTGGGTGATTAGATATTTGCATTAACAAGCGCTTGTACAGGTGTACCTAATAAAGTGGCCGTCCAAGGCACTTAAGGATGGTGTTTATTACAGGTTAAACGCGCCGCTCATCGGCTGAACGATCAGCTGTCTACTGTGGAACGCAACATCACCGCCCTCAAGCAGAATACACACAGTGTCTCAGATGAAATTGAAAATATCGCTAAACGTCTGCAAAAGTCTGTTAGAGACCGCTGCGATTTTCTGAAGGCTGAGGTATGTTTTTCCATTTAGCTTCCGAAAGTCAGTCATCAATATGACATCGCAATACTTCATATTTGTCTCATTTTAATTGTAGTAAAATTGATAGCAATTTGGGGCGTTACTGATAAGCGTTACAATTGAGTAATTTTTTTTTTTAATTATTACTGAGTGAACGGCTACTTTATTATTTAACCTATACTCTTTCCATGCTCTTCATGAAGTTTTGGACTGGATCTGTAACTCGGGCGTTGTGACCATTTTTCCAATTTTGCCTGTTAGTTGATTCTAATAACAAGCTCTACAGCTAATTTAACATACAGGCGGACTTCAGGCAGTGGTGCAGGGTGTGAACGTAACTCTAACCCTCTGTTTAGGTGGAGAACTACTATAACAATGAGCTTCGGAACCTGACAACACTCAAGGAGTCCCTCGATCAAGAGGTCTCCAACATCGGGGCCAACATCGAACTGGCAGAGAAACACATGGATGATAACACTCCCTGGGACGATGCAGAGCTCATGGACACCAAGGATATCTTCCTCAAGACCATGGAATTCATTCGAAGTTTTGATTACGAAGCCGGGGACTACAGCAGACGAACCAGATTTAACCCTCCTGACGATATCAATAAGGTTAGTGAAGGATAGACACTAAATTAATTCAATTTGACTGTTTATTGAAATGTTCCCGACAGGGCCAAAATTAAGGTTATATTGTTTATTCATTTTCCGCGTCAGTTTTCAGGCGAAGCTTAAACCTGAAGCTTACTGCACTTAAGACTTCGGAGTTGTAAATGAATAACGTATTACAGGTTCTAAGTTTGTAAATAGTGATTCTTTGTGTAAATTTATTTTAATTTTAAGACAAAAATAATTTTCTTGCTGGAGCCAATTTTCATTTTTTCAGTACCTTATAGAAAACTTCTATATATTTAATAAATTAATTATATGTTTGCATTTAGATGCCATAGTGTGTAACGCATAACTTAGTGTCTTTGTATTATATTCTGAGGAAAGATCGTTGTCGTCTTCATTATATTAGACGAGTTTAGCTTGTCATTTGTTGTAAATGAAGATCTGTTCTTATGTTCTTATTATTATTAGAATGTTGATTTGTGGCCATATGTAATTTTTTATTTTCAAAAATTACTTCGTTGAGATCTTAGTTAAATGAGCGTTTATCATGTGTCATATTCATAATGAACACAATACTGGTACAATAATAGCCTCGTAACTATAAATCTCAGTATTGCGAACTAATTATTTGCTCAAATAATTTTATCTGAGTTGTGTATTAGTCCAGAATCTAAGCACTCATTTTACTAAATAACTTAAAATGGGTTATTTATCTGTGAATATGCATTAAACTTGTAGATAATATCGTATACCAGTGGCTGTCAAAGTAGGACACTTTTCTTCGTGAGGTGAAGATTCAGTGGGATGCGCTGGGTCATGCAAGGGTATAGAGGCACGACAAATCAGTGAGAATACTGACAAGAACAACTTGGTGATTATATTTCTTGAAACCTGAGGAAAGATCGTTGTCGTCTTCATTATATTAGACGAGTTTAGCTTGTCATTTGTTGTAAATGAAGATCTGTTTTGAGGTTTTAAATAACTTCACCCTTAAGCTATAAGATAGACAAGGAACTATTAACGGCAGGTACGATGTAACTAGAACATTCCTCGCTGAGGAATGTTCTAGTTGTGGAAGAGTTGTATTAAATAAAGCACAATTTTCCTCGTCTTGACCATCCTAATAATAAAAAAAAACTCACTCATAACCTCAGAAACAAGATAGAATGCCACCTTCATTATTACTATTATTAATATAATCATGGGGAGCACTAAACCCGTAGGATTATACAGCGCATGATGGGGGGGGAAGGTATTCAGGCTCAATTCAGGGAACTGGAGCACAGATCCAATTCCCTAGATCAAGAGCCCCTCACCAGTATCAAGGAACCTCCCTTACCTGGAGAGGGTTTCGGGGGTCAACGCCCGGTCTGAGACCAGGCCTCATGGTGGATCAGGTTCTGATCAACCAGGCTGTTACTGCTGGCCGCACGCAAGCTGACGTACGAACCACAGCCCGGTTGGTCAGGTACTGACTTTAGGTGCCTGTCCAGTGCCTTCTTGAAAGGAAAGCCACCTTCAGCCTCTCTTAAGGACAAAAGTCCATATATATTTTCGTGATATAGATGAATGCAGTTACGAATTCAGTCTTGCAAGGAATCTGGCTTCCATTCGAGACGAAGATGTCACTAAAACAGTTTCTTGAAGTGAAGTTTGGTTCTGTGGTGAAAAATGACTTAACGAAATACGAATTTTAGAAGTTCTGAGAGAAGCATTTGCCTATTTATGAAAATGTTAGCCAGTGAGACCTTAGTCATTGTCCCATTGTGGTCTAGGTACCTGTGTGAGACGAGTATTCAGTTCTTGTTGAGATCAAGCCAAAGCAGCTGAGATTTACAAACAATTGTCGTCCTGAGAGCCACATGATGGCTGAACTTTCAGGAGGCTTATTATCCCCCGGAGTTACAGCATGGCACTCCCTTTGGCACTCAATGAGACCTAAACACTTTCATCTTCCTCCTGTACTATGATCATTCGCTACTCCAAGTACTCTAACCCCTAACATTAATACAGGGGGAAGTATAAGTTAATATGTTTTTGCTCATTCTATAACCCGGTAAATTATTATTATAATCAAAAAGAAGCGCTAAGCCACAAGGACTATACAGCGATAACCCGGTAAAGCACAAAAAAAAAATGGACATTTAGCAGAAATGAATTTCTAGTGAGCCACAAGCCAGTCGACTCGCTACTGCACCTAGAGTCCTATGACCATTAAAATAATTGTTGCCAAATCAGTGCAGTCAAATATAAAAATAATTATTCTGAGTACAACTACTTACATCACACTCCGTATAATAGAACTGCCATTAAATTATGCGAAACAGGTTTTTTAGAATAAGGCTTTTCCAAATTAAAAATGAAAGCTGGAGGATAATTCGGTTTGAGCATAGCCGCTGCTTGGTAATGGTACAAGATAGACCGACGCGACGCACAGCTTTTATTTCTGGATTGATGCTCATTTGTGAATTTTTCCGTCCACGGTATTTTGACTTTCTCTTGAAATACCATTGTGTGCCACAGCTTGCGACAACCCTGAGTACCCTGGGAGAGTTGACCTTCAATACGCCCAACAAGATGAGTGACGGCTACAACTCCGGCCCCTCCATGGGCTCCGGCCTCATGAAGAGTAAGAGCGACCACAGGCTGGCAGCTCAGTTTAGGGACCAGGAAGATGGCTACGGTTACAGCTCAGGCAGGACCTCGCCTCTCATGCGCAGACGCTTTGGGGAGAGGAACGTCGAGAGGTATAGTCAGTCTCACCTTCTCACAATATCCTCAACTAACCCATCCGCAGACCCCTGACTCCGCCACCGAAGATGATGTCATTAGTGAACAACGCTATGGCAAAAAAAAAAAATCAAATTAACCTACGAGTCGAAAATGAAAATAGCAACATTATCAGTAAAACTTGTTAATGATCCAAACGCTGGTGAAAGGCTCTTGATTCAAAGGATTGGAGCTACCCTCCCTTTCCTTGAATCAAATCTGATTGCCTTCCATTCCTTAAGGTGCTATTTGAAACTTTTAACGCTCCATGAGAAATTAATAATGGTAGAGAACGGACCAGATCATTAAATTTACTTTTCCATATTGAAAGTTAGTTGTAAACAACCCTATGAACAGCTATGAACAGCCTAGAGGTAAACCTCTATTGGTAATAACCCACAGCGTTGAGGCTTGTTGAATGATGTTATCATCGGTGGACGTGATCCAGAGAATGTGAGGCAGACTATAGCTAATTAGTGATATCAATACATTTGCAATTAATTTCTGATCTTGAAAAAAAATGTAAAAAAAATTAAATGTAGCATTTAATGACGTTGAATGTTCGTGAAATGTGCACAAGTGGATAGTTTCTGTTCCCCGGCCATAACCTTCATCACCTTCAACATGACCTGCTATGACAGTGAGCTGAATACCACTAGTCTTATTACTAGCCATACTAAAACACACACACACACACACACACACACACACACACACACACACACACACACACACACACACACACACACACACACACACGCGCGCGCGCGCACATCGCATACGCGCACATACACACCCACTCACACACCCCACACACACACACCCCACACATACCCCACACATACCCCACACATACCCACAATAAACCCACACATACCCCAACCACATACCCCACACATACCCCACACATTTCCCCACACAACCCACACTAAAACCCCACACACACACACCCACACACACACACACCCCACACACACACACACCCCACCACACACACACACACACAAACACACACACACACACAACACACCACACATAATATGCGCACATACACATACGCGCACATAAACATACGTACAAATACACCCCACACACACACCCCACACACACACCCAAAACAACAACCCCACACATACACACACCCACACATAAAAACATACAACACCCCACACATACACCAACCCCACACATACACACCCCACAACCAACAATACACACCCCACACATACACACACACACACAACACACCACACCCACAACCCACACACACCACACACACACACCCCACACATATACACCCCCACAACACACCCCACACATACCACACACCATACACACCCCACACATATAACACCCACACATACACACCCCACACATACACACCCCACACATACACACCCCACACATACACACCCCACACATACACACCCCACACATACACACACCCCACACATACACACACCCCACACATACACAACCCACAACACACACCCACACAATACACACACCCCACACATACACACACCCACACATAACACACCCCACACATACACACCCACACATACACACCCCACACATACACACCCCACCACATACCCCACACATACACACCACACACACACACACCCCACACACACACCCCCCACACCACCACCACCACACACACACACACCCCCACACACACACACCCCACACATATACACCCCCACATACACCCCCACACATACACACCCCACACATACACACCCCACACATACACACCCCACACATACACACCCCACACATACACACCCACACATACACACCCCACACATACACACCCCCACACACACACACCCCACACACACACCCACACACACACACCCCACACACACACCCCACACACACACACCCCCACACACACCCACAACACACCCCACACACACCCCCCCCCACACCACACACACCCACAACACACACACCCCACACACACACACCCCACACACACCCCACACACACACACACACCACACACACAACACACACACACACCCCACACACACACCCCACACACACACACCCCACACACACACACCCCACACACACACACACCCCACACACACACACACACACCCCCACACACACACACACACCCACACACACAAAACCCCCACACACACACCCACACACACACACACCCCACACACACACACACCACACACACACACCCCACACACACACACCCCACACACACACACCACCCCACACACACCCCCACACACACACAACACCCCACACACACACACCCACACACACCACACACACCCACACACACACACCCCACACACACACACCCCCACACACACACACCCCACACACACACCCCACACACACACACCCCACACACACACACCACACACCACCCCACACAACACACCACACACACCACACCCCACACACACACACCCCACACACACACACCACACACACACACCCACACACACACACACACACACACCCCACACACACACACACACCCCACACACACACACCCCACACAACACACACACCCCACACACACACCCACCACACACCACACACCCAACCAACACACCCAACAACTACACCTACACACACACACACAACACACACACAAAGACGGAAGACGCCCCACGGAGCTCGAACCACCCACCCCAAACCCAACTCACAGTCCCCACCACACACCCACACACACACACACACACACACACACACACACACACTCAAACACAAACTCATACACACGCACGTGCGCGCGCACACACACGTACTCATATACAACAGGCCTAGTGTCTAATCGACATGTGCCTAGGACAAAATGGTAACTAACAACAGGCCTAGTGTCTAATCGACATGTGCCTAGGACAAAATGGTAACTAACATGCACGCGTGTACAACAGGCCTAGTGTCAAATCGACTTGTACCTAGGATAAAATGGTAACTAACACACTCTGGAATAACTGAGGTCTCAGTCCTGCCCTCCAGCCCTCCCGATCCCTCATCATAGGGCTCTACCCTGCATGCGGCCCTCCCGAGCCCTCATCTTAGGGCTCTACTTGCATGCAACCCAACAGAACTCACATGCGCAATTTATAAATAACTTTCCATTAAAAACGAATCTAAATATGTATAGATCTTTACGATAAGTCTAACTTTAAATATCAGTGCTATAACTGATCTTCTTACGGAAAAGTATTTTGCTTTTATTTATTTGTAACTCACCAATGTCAGCTCACATGCTGCTCTATGGCTATTTGCTTATTAATCATGTAGATCGTCCAAATTATGTGGCATAACAGAATAACTTTGTGATAGCATTACCGTGGCATTCATGTTGTTGACGTTTTATCATTCCTACGCGTCCTTCCCACCTGTTGGAGCGTCTCTATTTCTTTTCCTCTAGTCGTGGTCTCCCACCTCTGCCCAGCTCACCTGTTGTCCTCACAGGCACGACGAGGATTCCTCGGCTGACTCTGGGCGGCGGCGGTTCCGGTCAAGGTTCATGCGCAAAGAAGAAGACGAGGAGCGTTCGGTTCGCTTCGCCGAAGAGGACGGAGTCAAACGACAGCGAGTCCTCGACACAGAGGATGCCTCGCGCGGCCCGCTGTCCGGGATCGTCAGACTCTACGACTCGCCCCGTGTCATGAAACGATTCCAGGAGCGTGATCAACTTAAGAATAAAAAGAAGGAAGAACCACCTAAGCCTGTACAACCCACGTTACCCAAGCCTCCCGTGACCCCTGTGCAGCGTAAAACATCACGCCAAACTAGCAATGAAGACGAAATAGATAAAATTAAGAAACAAAATAAAGCAGCAGACACGCCAGGAGCGACTGCCACAACGCCAACAGTGAGCTCCTCCACTCCCTCCACACCAACCACTCCCAAGCCCGCAGGTGAACGCGTTTCCTCCATCAAAGATGACGAGCGGCAGAGCCGCGTTGATCGCACCTCCACTTCACCCAGATCCTCTGTAAATCATTCCCCCACGTCTTCTATGACTCGTGAAGATGACTCCAGTCGTAGGCGTGAGTACATAGGCTCCAGAACAGATGCCAATATTACTGGAGCCAACGGTACATCTGGTCGGCCTACTCTGGCCCGCAAAACGAGTGTTGATACTGGAGTGACTAGTGTAGCACAGCGCTCCTATCCCTTCAGCCGTTCTTCATCTAATTCATCTGTAGGGGATAAAGATAAGGATAAAAACACAAGTGGAACTCGAAGCCCCCGGCCCCTCGACACCACAGGCTTCGAGCGCCGCTTATCTCGCTCCAACAGCACGGAGAGCAACAAGTCAGGTGATGGGGCAGCATCCCCTAAGAAAGCGACAGGTGCAGCCTTCTCTACCGAGGAACTTAGAAACCGTTTCGTGAAGGCAGACACAAAACCGTCCACATCTAAAGTTGATACTTCTAGAACGTCCGCTCAGAGTAATTCTCGTTTTCAATCACGTTTTTTAGGACGAGCCGGTACTCCTTCAGCAGAGGCCTCGAAGGAATCAGGGAATGAAGATGAAGATGAAGAAAGCAGCGATGATTCCGAGTCCGAGGAGAGTGAAGAGTCGTCTGAGGAAGAGGAGGAGGAGGAGGAGAAGGAACCTACATCAGAATACTCTCGTCCGGACGTTGGGCCCCTACTGGGGAAGAGTGCCCAGGCTCGCGATGTAGCTGCCCCGGCTACTAGCTCTAGGAGCACCTGGAGTGAAAGGAATTCATACCCACCAGCTAGTTCTAGTGTAAATGATTCCGGTTATGCAAGTAGATATGGCAGTAGCAGTGAGAATAGCAATGGCAACAGCACCACCACCCCAACCAGCAGGTATGGAACCTCCAGCGTTAACACCAGCAGCACCGACACGGGAACAACCAGTCACCGGCGCCCATCGTACCTGGACACACCGAAACCTCAGGCCAAGGAAAAGGAAGATGATTTTGAGTCTAAATATCCCTACTCAAGTAAGTACCTGAACCGTTCTCGGGCCGCAGTACCCGAGGAGGATACCAAACCAACTTTTCAAAGCCGATTTCTTAACCGGTCAAAAAGTTCGGCCGTTTTAGGACCTGATGACACTGATGAATCTACTCCTGCCGCCACACATGGCACTGGCCGGGCTCGCTTTGAAGAATTAAAGGAACGAAGACAAAGGTTGGCAAGAAGCAAAAGCTCTGCAGGCCTGGAAGATGAAGAAGGGACAACTCCTGACACAAACTCCGCCTCCAGTTATCGACCTCGTTATGGTCGAGTAGAACCTGAAACTTCTACCACAACACGTAGCACTACTTCAGGTGCAACATCGTCAGGAATAGGAAGCAGTAGCGGTACCGGAAGTGAAGAAGGTGGTTCATCATCTACCCAGCTCTCTAACTGGGCCCGCTACCTCAAGAATAAGTATGGTAACAGAAGCGGAGCAGCAGGAGGAGATAGCACTGGTCGAAGTACTAGTACCGGTCTTGGCAGTGCTAGCACTGGGTTGGGCAGCAGTGCCAGTGGCACCAGCGGTCTCCTAGGCAGCTCACGACCTGGTACAAGCAGCACAGTAGGAGCCGGAGCTAGAGCTATCTCTCGCTCTCGGTCCTCGCATCTTCTTGGTCTTGCCAAAGAGGGCGAATCTTCTGAAGATGATTCAAAAAACGTGCACGCTACCCCTACTTTCCCACAAGCAGGTACACTGGTTCCTACTCCGTTCGGAAGTTTACATAGGAGCCAGTACCTGCAGAAACAACGCCTCTTAATTAAGATCGGGAGTAGGGGTAGTGAACCTGGAAATTTTACATGGCCAAGAGGCATAGCTGTTGGACCCGACAACAGCATTGTGGTTGCTGACTCTAGCAACCACCGCGTGCAAGTATTTGACCAACAAGGTAAGTTCATAAAAGAATTTGGCTCTTATGGAAGTGCAGAAGGTGAATTTGATTGTCTGGCGGGAGTTGCTGTTAACAGAATCGGTCAGTATATCATTGCCGATCGCTACAACCATAGGATTCAAGTATTTGATCCATCTGGCATGTTCCTCCGATCCTTCGGAAGCCAAGGTGGTGGAGATGGGCGATTTTCTTACCCATGGGGTGTAACCACAGATGCTCTCGGATTCATCTACGTCTGTGACAAAGAGAACCATCGTGTACAAGTCTTCCAGTCTGACGGGTCTTTCGTTGGCAAGTTTGGGTCAATGGGCAACAAACCTGGACAGCTCGAGCACCCACATTACATCGCTGTCTCTTCCACCAATCGAGTTATCGTCTCAGATTCCAACAACCACCGCATACAGATATTTGACATTAATGGCAAGGTTACAACAACATTTGGGTCAGAGGGCAGCGACGAGGGACAGTTCAAGTTCCCAAGGCAAGTCAACGTCCACCTTTATTTATATATATATATATATATATATATATATATATATATATATATATATATATTGTAACCACGGACGAGTAGTATTGATCAATAACAACACTTCGCTAGCCAAAGGATTCGAACCCATGTTGTACTGGCCTGCCTCATGGTAAACGAGAACCACATAACGCTTTAAACCACAGGACCGCCCAACCTGTGGTTTAAAGCGTCATGTGGTTCTCGTTTACCATGAGGCAGGCCAGTACAACATGGGTTCGAATCCTTGGCTAGCGCAGTGTTATATATATATATATATATATAATATATATATATATATATATATATATATATATATATATATATATATATATATATATATATATATATAAAATAGTGTGTGTGATATATCATAAAAATACTTTTATAATGAACCTAATAAATCATATAAACGAATTCACACGTAAACAGCGAAACAAAATAATGAATATTGTATAGTTAGACCTCTCGCTAAAGCCTTTCTCAACAAATAATTTGCCAAACTGGGCTTTAGGGCGACACCGAAATTCACAATACTCATCAGCTTTGTCTCCACATAGTTCGTTGATATCAATGACCAGTGTTGATTACGCTTTTGTGTTTGGCTAACAAATAATTTTGAGAAACGTTATATGTTATATGAACTCTGACATGATTGCCAGGGGAGTGGCTGTAGACGACCAAGGATACATCTTCGTGGCTGACAGTGGCAACAACCGTATACAGATCTTCCACCCCGACGGCTCCTTCCTAAGGGCATTCGGCTGCTGGGGATCTGGAGAGGGAGAATTCAAGGGCCTTGAAGGTGTGGCGGTTATGTCAAATGGAAACATCCTCGTCTGCGACCGGGAGAACCACAGAGTGCAGGTCTTCTGAGAAGGTACTGTACACTTGTGAACTTTGATACAAATATGCAAGAACGCATTCTAACCATGAATCACATATATTTTTATTATATTTTAAAATCTTCTTTTATCAATATTGGCTCTCACTGATTCAGTTGGCCAATATAATTGGCATCTAGGACATTATCATCGAGTTATAGTAAGTGTTGACGAATTAAAGATGCATGATTTTTTAAAATAGTTATTGAATATAAATTCTGATTGCAAACAGTTTTGCATGTATAGATTAATAGACCAAACATATTGCTTGGTCTATGATCTTAGCGCTATAACGATCGTAATATAAACAGGGAGACATGATGGGTCATGGAGCTATAACAGCCCAGGTTCATGTATCACAAAACTTTCCCAGGTCATGCTTCGCAGACTCAGTTTGACCTCAAACCATCGCTGGGAGAGTAGTGACGTATCTGAGGTAGGACAATGAGACGGCCAGCATGATCCTTAACCTAAAACATAACTCAAAACACAGTTTACTGTACTGCACTTTGTCTGGTCAAGTGGATTTGACTCATGGGGCAACTATAAACAATGATGCTGAATAAACTAGAAAAAATCATATTTTAAATATTCTACTCTACCTGGGTGAAATAAGAACACTATTCACCTTTTAACTTAATTTAATGTAGGAACTGGGTGCAATAATATGTTCAAATGACAATAGGCTACAGTAACACAGTTATCGCCTTGTTTACCTTAAAGTTGTGGCATGGTCTCCCAGGCTTAATGTTCTCCTGTTTCCAGTATGCATGTTAAAGTTAACTTAAAAATAAATTTCGGTAATTTAGAAGATATTATGTTTAGGGGACATGCTAAACCCGTAGGGTCCATACATCACCTGGGGAATGGAAGGCAATCAGGTTCGATCGAAGAAAGAGAAATATAAGTATTTTTATGGATCTAAAGCCTCGCCAGCAACAAGGCACTTTCCTAGGGAGAATATACAAGTAAAGCTTTGCCAAAAATGGAGATAAATTATCTTTCTAGTTGTGATAAATTTAGTATTTTCATACACTTAGTATTTCAAATTTGATAAAAACCTAGCCTAAAATAGACCTATATTTTAAACTTATTCCATACGTAAATAAGGTCGTCTCCACTTCTCCCTTTTTAAAAGGTGCCTTGACGCTAGTATGGGGCTCTTGATCCAAAGAATTCGATCTATACTTCATTTCCTCTTCAAGGGGGACTCCTTGGCGTGGTGAAGAGGCTCTTGGTCTGAGGAATTAGACCTGTCGGTCTACTTCCTCAGACCGAACCTAATTACCCCCCAATCCCCCATTCCCTATCCCATCCTCCCCATCCTCCCCTTTTTCCTTTCCTCCTCCTCCTCCCCATCCTCCCCTTTTTCCTTTCCTTTTTGGCCTTTGGGTTTTTTTTTTTTTTTTTTTTTTTTTTTCTCCCACAGGCACGCTAGTTCCTAGGTAAGGGAAAGGGTACCGGGGTCCATCCCATTCCGTTGAGGTTCTTGGCGGTGGCGTAGTTTGCCGTGGAATCTGGATTGCCTGGGGATGTCCTGATCCCTCTCCGGTATCCCGGAGGGTGGCTTTGGGTGTCTCTTGGGCGACGGGTGTAACTCTGGAAGCCACCTTTCGGATTCCGGGGGTGGTGGCCGAAGGAGGTATGCTTTGTGGCGGATTTCCGGCCGCCCTCTCTCTTGTCCACCAAGGTAGCTCGGCAGATGTGAGGTTGCTATCCTGGATTGCCGGTTTACTGGCATGATGGGTAGGGTATGACACGGGTTCCATGCTGCATCTGCGCTACTTGCGGTGCTGAGGTCCTCTTGGGTGCAGAGGGAGATTTCTGGCCCTTTCATTCCTCCTAGGAACTATCCCTCCCCGGTCCCCCCCTTTTTTTTATTCTTTTTTTTATTTTTATTTTATTTTATTTTCTTTTTTTTTTCTTAAAAACAAAAAGAAAGAAGTAACCTAACCATGGCAGCCCTAGTCCATGAACCTGCTACCCCTGGGCCCCTTCTTGATACCGCACCCCGTTCTGACCCTGCCTCATCTTTGGACCACTCTTCGGACATTCCTCATGCCTCTGTACCTCTTGCCGGTGCTGTTTCCTCACCCGCTTCAGGTACTGAGGCCTCGACTGACTCCTTCGATTTATCTGACCTTCGCTCTCCTCTGACTATGCTTCCGGCCTCTCCCTCTACGGTGCGGCAATTTTCGAATCGCCGGCCCGTTCCACATCGGACCAACTCTGGTCCCACGCCTAAACGACAACGACAATTACCTGCTGATGATACTTCTCCACCTTCTCGTTCTTCTCAGAAAAGATCGACACGTCCTTCACTACCTTTCCACGCTCAGTTTCAGACTGCACAATGGACTAAATTCTTCACTTTACGACCGACTTCCTCTACTGCCTATCTTTCTGACCACAGTATTGGCAAGGCACTCCTATGCCATGTTGGTAAAGATATTTCTTTTCATGCTCTTAAGAGCGGTACGTGCATCGTCACCATACAGAATGCTACCCAGGCTCATGAGCTTTCTCGTCTTTCCCATATCGATACTGTTTACCTGGAGTTTACCTGGAGAGAGTTCCGGGGGTCAACGCCCCCGCGGCCCGGTCTGTGACCAGGCCTTCTGGTGGATCAGAGCCTGATCAACCAGGCTGTTGCTGCTGGCTGCACGCAAACCAACGTACGAGCCACAGCCTGGCTGATCAGGAACTGACTTTAGGTGCTTGTCCAGTGCCAGCTTGAAGACTGCCAGGGGTCTGTTGGTAATCCCCCTTATGTGTGCTGGGAGGCAGTTGAACAGTCTCGGGCCCCTGACACTTATTGTATGGTCTCTTAACGTGCTAGTGACACCCCTGCTTTTCATTGGGGGGATGGTGCATCGTCTGCCAAGTCTTTTGCTTTCGTAGTGAGTGGTTTTCGTGTGCAAGTTCGGTACTAGTCCCTCTAGGATTTTCCAGGTGTATATAATCATGTATCTCTCCCTCCTGCGTTCCAGGGAATACAGGTTTAGGAACCTCAAGTGCTCCCAGTAATTGAGGTGTTTTATCTCCGTTATGCGCGCCGTGAAAGTTCTCTGTACATTTTCTAGGTCGGCAATTTCACCTGCCTTGAAAGGTGCTGTTAGTGTGCAGCAATATTCGAGCCTAGATAGAACAAGTGACCTGAAGAGTGTCATCATGGGCTTGGCCTCCCTAGTTTTGAAGGTTCTCATTATCCATCCTGTCATTTTTCTAGCAGATGCGATTGATACAATGTTATGGTCCTTGAAGGTGAGATCCTCCGACATGATCACTCCCAGGTCTTTGACGTTGGTGTTTCGCTCTATTTTGTGGCCAGAATTTGTTTTGTACTCTGATGAAGATTTAATTTCCTCATGTTTACCATATCTGAGTAATTGAAATTAATCATCGTTGAACTTCATATTGTTTTCTGCAGCCCACTGAAAGATTTGGTTGATGTCCGCCTGGAGCCTTGCAGTGTCTGCAATGGAAGACACTGTCATGCAGATTCGGGTGTCATCTGCAAAGGAAGACACGGTGCTGTGGCTGACATCCTTGTCTATGTCGGATATGAGGATGAGGAACAAGATGGGAGCGAGTACTGTGCCTTATGGAACAGAGCTTTTCACCGTAGCTGCCTCGGACTTTACTCTGTTGACGACTACTCTCTGTGTTCTGTTAGTGAGGAAATTATAGATCCATCGACCGACTTTTCCTGTTATTCCTTTAGCACGCATTTTGTGCACTATTACGCCATGGTCACACTTGTCGAAGGCTTTTGCAAAGTCTGTATATATTACATCTGCATTCTTTTTGTCTTCTAGTGCATTTAGGACCTTGTCGTAGTGATCCAATAGTTGAGACAGACAGGAGCGACCTGTTCTAAACCCATGTTGCCCTGGGTTGTGTAACTGATGGGTTTCTAGATGGGTGGTGATCTTGCTTCTTAGGACCCTTTCAAAGATTTTATGATATGGGATGTTAGTGCTATTGGTCTGTAGTTCTTTGCTGTTGCTTTACTGCCCCCTTTGTGGAGTGGGGCTATGTCTGTTGTTTTTAGTAACTGTGGGACGACCCCCGTGTCCATGCTCCCTCTCCATAGGATGGAAAAGGCTCGTGATAGGGGCTTTTTGCAGTTCTTGATGAACACCGAGTTCCATGAGTCTGGCCCTGGGGCAGAGTGCATGGGCATGTCATTTATCGCCTGTTCGAAGTCATTTGGCGTCAGGATAACATCGGATAGGCTTGTGTTAATCAAATTTTGTGGCTCTCTCATAAAAAATTAATTTTGATCTTCGACTCTGTCTGGTTAGCGGCTTGCTAAAAACTGAGTCATATTGGGACTTGAGTAGCTCACTCATTTCCTTGCTGTCATCTGTGTAGGACCCATCTTGTTTAAGTAGGGGCCCAATACTGGACGTTGTTCTCGATTTTGATTTGGCATAGGAAAAGAAATACTTTGGGTTTCTTTCGATTTCATTTATGGCTTTTAGTTCTTCCCGCGATTCCTGACTCCTAAAGGATTCTTTTAGCTTAAGTTCGATGCTTGCTATTTCTCTGACCAGTGTCTCCCTACGCATTTCAGATATATTGACCTCTTTTAGCCGCTCTGTTATTCTTTTCCGTCGCCTGTAAAGGGAGCGCCTGTCTCTTTCTATTTTACATCTACTCCTCCTTTTTCTTAGAGGAATAAGCCTTGTGCATACATCGAGTGCCACCGAGTTAATCTGTTCTAGGCATAAGTTGGGGTCTGTGTTGCTTAGTATATCTTCCCAGCTTATATCGGTTAGGACTTGGTTTACTTGGTCCCACTTTGTTTTTGTTATTGAAGTTGAATTTGGTGAATGCTCCCTCGTAACTAGTCTCATTATGTTGGTCTGGGGCTCCACGCATATATGTCTGAACCTCAATTATGTTGTGATCTGAGTATATTGTTTTTGATATGGTGACATTTCTTATCAGATCATCATTGTTAGTGAAGATGAGGTCTAGTGTATTCTCCAGTCTAGTAGGCTCTATTATTTGCTGGTTTAAATTGAATTTTGTGCAGAGATTTAAAAGCTCGTGTGAGTGTGAGTTTTCATCAGAGCTGCCTCCTGGTGTTATTACTGCAACAATATTATTTGCTATATTCCTCCATTTTAGGTGCCTTAAGTTGAAATCCCCCAGGAGCAAGATGTTGGGTGCAGGAGCAGGAAGATTTTCCAGACAGTGGTCAATTTTTAACAGCTGTTCCTGGAATTGCTGGGATGTTGCATCCAGAGGCTTGTAGACTACCACAATGACTAAGTTTTGGTTCTCGACCTTTACTGCTAAAACTTCCACTGCATCATTTGAGGCATTAAGCAGTTCTGTGCAAACAAGTGACTCTGCAATGTACAGGCCAACCCCCCCCCCCTTTTGCCTGTTCACTTTGTCACATCTGTATAGGTTGTAACCTGG